CCCCCAGTACAAGAAGACATGGAGCAAAATCTGACAGAGGCTCTCACCCTTTTTCATTCTTCTTAAAATGTGAAAGATGGAATAGTGTCTGTTTCTACTGGGACAGTATTAGCACTTTTAAATGCTATTTATGAAATGCCATATTTTAAAAAAATGGTGCTTGTTTGTTATTGGTAATAGTAAACAACTAAGGAGAGCAAAAGCCAATGGCAATGAATAGCTGCAGGAAATACTTCTTTTCACTGCATGTTGTGCTGTACACTGCATACACTGGGCCAGTTTATTTTCTTTGCAACACGTTACTTAAAGTGACCTTAAACTCAGGAGTTGAATCTGAAACATTAATTCAAGTACCTTAGCTAATAACAAAAAAATTATTTTATTTGTGTATCACTCAGCTGTAGATCCTCAAATCATCTCTAAATTCATGCTGACACTGCCCTTGCTTCTGGAGGGTGGTTACTTCTGTTCCCCATGGTCTTTGCGTGTGTTGTAAAGTAGCAACCACTACAATCCCAATACAAACTAGTCAATTAAAAATTAGATTTTGCTCTTCCAGGCTGCTGCTCAGATCAAGGGTCTGGTAGGGATTCTAGGGGGAACCCAAGCTTTTTTTTTCTGGTGTTGGGCCCTTCCCCTAAAATTCCTACCAGACCTAAAGGGTCTGGTCATAGAAGATTTATTTTGCTTTGTTAATCTGAATGATTATTGGAACTAAAAACAATACGGAGGGAAGGAGGAATTACCTGGAGAGCCTCTTGCTGGTTACCTATATGCTGTGATAGCTGTATCAGACAGCTAGAGATTTCGGGGAGTGCATAGCCACTGGTGGATGTGTTGGAACACATGGAGAACACCTACCTTGTGTTTTTAAGACAATTTGATACAGAGATGTTTTCACTTTTTCTGCATATCGCTTCACAGAGAAAAGTTTTATATATTTGTTTCACGCTTATGGATTGGACCTATTTTGTCTAATGGACTGTTCGGTCACTTAATCACTTTATTGTTTTTTTGTGCTTTTGATCACTGGATACAATTGTTGCACTTTTATTGGATGTGTAGCTTTTGATCACTTTATACATTGTAATATGTATTGCTATTTATTTATTTATTTATTTATTCACTTCATGCACTTTTATTTGAGGATTTGTAGCACTATACCATTGTTTTGAAATTGGGCTGCATACAATGTCGCCAAGATCACTTGTACAAAACAAACGGTGGCTTCCCCGCTGTACATTTAGCTCTGCTTGGCCAAAGCAGGGCTAAATGTAGAAAACAACTACCCGCCCGGGCATCAGGAGATATCAGTTCCACACCCTTTGCTGCCCCTCTACCCCCTGCTGCCCCAAGGCCGGGCCTTGGTTGGCTTTGTGGGAAATCCGGCCCTGTTTGTAATTATCTAACACATCCAAAATTAACGAATTAGTTAAAATCCTGAAACAAATTGACTTTCGGATCCAAATCCTGAAATAATAAAAAATCTGAAACAAAATTTTTGCCGGCCTGTCTAAATATTACTATAAGGATACAGGGGGAAAAGGGTTGTCTTTGGTGCGGCGCAGTTTCTATATACAATTAACATTCAATATTGCTCATCAGAGACTTGTGGGATGTCATTCGGAATTTTGTTTGATTTTAGCGAACGTTGTGAAGACAGATTTTTATTTGGAAGGGGATTTTATTGAAGTGTGACAAGCTTTGTCCTATCTTTGGCCTATCTATGGCTAATACAGCCTCAGCTGGTGCACAGCGCCACCCAGTGGCCGCAACCGGAACTCACGTCTACAGGGATCCCGGGGATGTGTGCACTCAGAGAACACCGGTCGAATGATATTTTTTTTCCTCTCCTGGCTGTGGGAGGAGGTGGGGATCTATTCTATGAGCTGGCCTTTGTGGTTGTGATTCCGCACAGTAGGGATCACCTCTGACTATACTGCCGTCTTTCTACCATGGGAAAACGTGTGCAGTTCAATCGTGGGATGTACAGCCCGACTGCTAGGCACTGAGACACGGCTGGTCCGGTCCTTGTACTGGAGAGGATTAGAGACGCAGCGTTTTCTGCAGGATCCGCTCACATGTACCCGGAGCACGGGGGTGGATTGGATTCCAGTGTATCATTGGGATTCCCAGATCAGCGCTCGCTTCCATCGTGCTGGATGTGTGCAGGAGGGGGCAGCTGCTGCATTGGGTAGATCGGATCACAGGAGGAGGTGTGTATTTTATACACAATCCCAGGGCTGGTTGCCTACATCGGTCATCATTAACCTGTAGATGAGCAGATTACCTGGGATCGCCGATCCCTAGATCACACTAGCACCCATTAGTGTCTGGTCATCATTGAACTTTCACCTAGACCCCATTGGCTGTCATTGATCAGTGGGGAAGAGGCAACTTCTTGTAGGATCAGACACTTGCAGGTAGTGGAGGTGTCAGGAGGAAATGTTGGTTGTCTAGCTAGACTGGGCTAGGTAATTGCAGGAGGGATTAGGACATCCAATCTTAACCAGGATTCTGTGGAACGCTAGTGGTTCCTCCAGAGGTGGCTTGGGGTTCTTTCAGGTGAATAGGGGTTCCTTCAAAGGTGGTTAGGGTTCCTCCAGAGGTGACTAGGGGTTCTTTTGAGCTGTGATTGATCTCCCATCGGATGGTTTCAGGGCCAACGCCACTTGGCAGAACCATCTGCATGACACCAATTATCTCCTTAGGATAGTATTCTGACCACCACTGTACAGGGTGTCTTTCTTCTCACTCCCAATGACCTATAAAATAATTTTAAGGGTTACTCTGGGGTTAGAAGGTTGAGAAGGCAGGGTTAGAAGCTCAGCAGTGTTGGTGGTAATTAGGTTACGGCTCAGTGATAGACCTGATTGCAGCTCTCCCTGATGAGCTTTGCATGCTGTCACTGGTAAGCAGTGGCTGCCCCTGGAAGGAGGCGGCATAATGGCCATAGACCAGGATCGTGAGTCCAGTTGGATGAGGCAGCCGGAGGCCGAGGAGAATGGTTCAGTGCTGCCAGCTTCCAGCACTACAATCCCCACATCAGAGGAGATGACTGGTGCCCCCGCTTCACCAGCCCACCCGGGTTCTCGGTATAGCCCTTTGCTGCTGGACTTTGATGGCTCCGTGTTGCCCTTTCTTGGTGGACTGGGCAACTTCAACAAGCGCCTGGTGCTGCTCACCTGGATTCCAGCTCTGTTTCTCAGCTTTAGCCAGTTTTCAGACTTCTTTCTCCTGGACATTCCAGATAAGTGGTGCAAGACTAATGGGAGCTTGGTGGACAGTGTCCATAACAGCCACTTACGCCTAGTGAATGGGACCACCCCTACTCCAGAGGTGATGCTCTTACAGCCACCGCCACAGCTGCCCACCACACTATCCCCGATCAGTGGCACACTGCCCCCCCACAACGACTCCTGCCTTTGCCATGAATGGACCTATCGAATCCATGCTGGACTTGTCCAAAATGTAGTGAGCAAGGTAAGTGTGTCTGGCATAGTGGGGTACCTACTATTGTGCCAGCTGGTGTACTATTTATTATTCGTATAGTGCTGACGTAGTTTGCAGTGTAGAGTATACAGACAACATCATGGCAGTATTAATCCACATGGCTTCTGTTATTTTAATAACATGTACCTTTACATTATGAGTTGCTGTAAGAAAATTGTAGAAACTCAAAGATGTGCGGTAATAACCTTTATTTTGTTTCATAACAATAAAAAACACAGATCGTTAGTCATAATCCACCTTTTAAAAAAAAAGATAAAATGCAGACATATTGATAAAAGAAAAAAAAAACATGCTTTTATTCATCCTTTGCATTTAAGCCTGCAAAGCATTGCAACTGCGGTCACTGGATTGTCGGTGCACTGCACAGGCTCCTCCAGCACTAGGTTTGTACCGAAATATGGACATTTGTCACCACACTTGTTCTCAATTGGGTTCTATGAGTCCCTCTGCCACTGTGACAGATGCGGATCCTGTGAATGGACCTGTAAATAAATTACGTGGCTGTGTGGACAGGTAAGTGGTGGGGGGAGTTTGGGTGTGGGGGGGCCTGTGAAATATAACCCATTTTACACACTACATACAGACCTATTGAAACATGGTCTGAAAGGTAAACTTAGCTTTTCATGCCGACCTTGCATGAAAAGCTTTAAAAAAAAACCCTCAGTGAAATCTCTTAACATCACATTTTTTGAAAAACGTAAAAGATATCTCCGTACATCCAGCTTCTGGCATCCCCGCCTATGCGGGGGTGATGTCTCTGGGCCTTGTGGGGGAAACTGGGACAGCTGTGGATCCAAAATCTTGCAAGAATGTTGCATTCATTTGTCACCAAGATCTTGTAGTGATGATGGGAGAGCCAGACCACTGTGTAGTCTTTTCCAGCACATCCCAAAAATTCTCAATGGGGTTAAGGTCTGGACTCTGTGGGGGCCAATCCATGTGTGAATAATGTCTCATGCTCCCTGAACCACTCTTTCACAATGTGAGCCTGATGAATCCTGGCATTGTCATCTTGGAATATGTCTGTCATCAGGGAAGAAAAAATCCATTGATGGAAATACCTGGTCATTCAGTATATTCAGGTAGACAGCTGACCTCATTTTATGGGTATAGAACATTGCTGAACCTAGACCTATAACCCAATGGAAGGCTCTGACCTATTTGCTTACCTAAATTCATGTGGTGACTTTTTTTTTTGGGGGGGGGGGGAATTCAAGAGCCAGCAGGGTTTTTATTTAATTTTTTTAAGAGCTGGCTCCATTGACAATAACTAGAGAAAGCATTAAAAGTTAGACTTCAGTTATACTTTTCTAAAAGCATTGGCTACCTTGCTCCTAATATTTGTCCAGCCCTGTATCCACTTCATAGAAAAAGACGAAACGATCCTTGCATGATGATTTTGTAATTGTTTAAAATAGTAATTGGTTATTCCTGCTTGTCGGACGTAGTGGATGGGGTACATAAACCATGGGCTGACTACTAGAAAAATTTTGGTTTTCTGTAAATTTGATGTGGTCTGAAGCTTCAGGTGTCCCATAGGACACCATAGATGAGAAGCTTGGTGTGGATGGCTGACACTGAAAAGATCCACTTATCTCATAAGGTGTCCAGCTTACTACTGCGGAATCAAACCATCCCAGACCCCCTCTGTTCTCTTTAACATGTGTTGAATTCATGGCCTTATTTTTTTTAAGTGGTGATGTGTATGGGAAACTTCTCATCATTTGTCACCGTAACACTAATTACTTTGTACATTTTTACGATACTTGTCCACCTGGACTAGGTTACATCATATTGGAAACTTACTTCTGGGGGAAATAAACAATGGCAATTAGTAATTAAAAGTGACAGTTTCATGATATGTGTAAAGAAGGCTGGAAAAGAAAGTAAACTATTTCAGGCATGTTGACAGAGTACATTGTCACCTTGTTGAAATTCAATTGCCTTTGCCATGACTAAGTTCTCTCCAATGACAACTATGCATATAGTTAAGGTTGGGTTTTCATTCCCTTATATTGGTATACATACAGTTTCCCTGTTGTTGGCAATAAACTAAAACTGTCTATACTGGGAAAGGCTAAAAATTAGTAAAGGAGGGCTGCTATCTTTAATGGCTGTAGTAGATCAGTGTCCACATTCTGTGTCACCAATATCAATTTCTAATAGTATGATTTTTTTTTTTAGTGAAGCTGTGTGCTTTTGGATCACGGGGTGTGTTTGGTGGAAGACAGAACATTGATCACTGTTTTGGATTTACATAGATTCACCATACTTTTGATATCATTTTTGGTTTCCATAAGTGGATTTACACGTGGACGTTATTATATGTTTAAGCATCACATGTATGAGTATAAGTTTTATTACTTACTGATATTTGCCCTCGCCTGACATTTTGTACATTTGTTCTATTGATTTGCATCTACACACGTTTGTTCTGCATGATTTCTCGTGTGTTTTAAAGCTCTGCACAGTTATATTTTTAGTTATATAGCTCCCATGCTATATATTTTAGTTATATAGCATGGGAGCCATTAACAGAACCCAAGACTCGTTTCTCAGCACTTAAAATAATATTTCAAGTCTAAAAATTCGTCTTTTTTTCATCTGGTGTTCTTTATAAATGTATTTTCCTTCTAGACAGAGGTAGACAAATGAATATGGAATTCATGAGCCAGTCTGTGCAATCCAGTAGCCAGCAGGATTTTGTTTTAGGAGCCAACTTCATTAATAACAACTAGAGAAACCCTGAAAGTTTAAATTGTAGGGAGCATTGTCTACCTGGCTCCTGGGATTTTTCCAGCCTTGCCTTAAGAGCAAGACTGGACATTTTCAGTAGACAAGTGTAGGGCTGCAACAACTAATCGACATAATCGATTATAATCGATGATTGAAAAAGTTGTCAACTTTTTCAATCATCGATTAATCGGCTTCCAATTGGTTGGCCCACACACGCTGCGCGCCACACCTCCTTCCCAACCCACGCTCGCTGCTGCCAGACCCCCACGCCCACACGCCGCACCTCCTCCCTGCCTCACGCTCACCGCCCACCCAAATCCACGTTCGGCACAGGGGCGCTTACAAAACCCAGCAATAGTACATTATACAGCGCAATGCAGAATACTGCCAGCTATAATGTACTATTTCTAGGATTTGTTGTGTTGCTCTATAGCTGGTGGTATTCTGCATTGTGCTGTCTAATGTACTATTGCTGGGTTTTGGAGTCCTCTATAGCCAGTGCCGATCTGCATTCATTGCTGTATAATTTTACACTTTTCATTTCACTATATTGCACACCACACTTTTTTTTTTCTATTTTACTTCCACCGCTCCAAGCTTGCTCCTGTGATGGACAACAATCTCAATACAAACTAGTAGTCCCATCACTGGAGCCATTAATTTTTTTAAAAATCCGATTAATCGAACTTAATAATCGGCTAACTAATCGATTTTTAAAATAATCGTTAGCTGCAACTCTAGACAAGTGAGATTATAGGTCTGTTATATACCAGCGTCATAAGGGCATTTTATTAGGCACCACAAAGAAATAGAAGGTTTTCCCACCCATGTGTCCAGATCTTACCACTACCACTATTATACATAACAGTATTTATAAATACTCCATTTATATTTTATGTCAGGGGTTGACAAACCATTCAGAAGCCAATCTGTCCAATCCAGGAGCCAGCAGGATTTTGTTTTAGGAGCCAGCTCCATAGATGTCTAACTTTTGTGTTTTTCCCTAGTTATTATCAGCTGTCATTTTTAAAGAACGCCTGCGGGTAAAAATTTGATTAACCCTTGCAGTGGCGCTACCTCCACACTGCAATGGTTAGGTGCTCATTTTTGCATAGGATCCAAAAATAACAAAGCTGGCTGGCTGTGACAGAGCTCCCTCCTGCCTGTCTCCCTTTCGTCTGCAGCGATGGTATGTTCCTTGGCGTCCTCACATCCTATACACAGTGTATAGAATGAGATGAATCTCAGAAATTGGACTGCTGCAGTGGAGGGGGAGAGAGGCTAAGCTCCAGGGACGGTCTAGGAGCAAGCTGGCTCACAGAATTGGGGGTGTATAATTTTATTTTTGATCCTAGGCAAAAATGAGCCGTTAACCCTTGCAGTGTGAGGGTAGCACCACTGCATGGGTTAATAAAATTTTCATCTGGGGTTCTGCTTTAAGGAGCATTGGCTACTGGCATTCGTCCAGCCCTGTTTTACATGCAAAGTCCATCAGCATTTAAGTAGAGTGTATTGCAGCATATGTAAAGGCAGCTAGCTATTCTATTTTGCCATTCTTCAATGTATTCGGCACCCAACACGAAGAACAATGCCCTGTTCACATTTAGTCAGTTCTGTAGACCGTGCTTAAGCACACTGGTCTTGATTCACAAAAGATCAATACACCGAGCAGTGTTATTGCTCATAACTGTTCCTCAACGTTGCTAGCTGCTTAGCGCTTGATTTGTGAAAAAATGTATGTGATGCCGCGCCATAATCCCGAGCATTGCTAATACCACATCTGACTTTGCCATTTATTTTAAAGTGAGCCTTTTGCCAAATCATTCTCATCAAGCCTGATAACGGAGCAAAGCATACACCTGCACATATCTTTTTCATCTTCCTGACAGCCCAGGAGCCCCTGAACGCTTGGTGATCAATATGCTAATGGTGTTTTCCAGCTCCAAATTCCGAGTCCTGTCACCCACCCACATCCCTCAATGCCTGCATTACAGAGGGCCGTGTCAGTGCACTGATTTTGGAGCTACATTTCACTATTCGCAGCTGTGGTTTCAGGGCCTTTCAAAGTTCTTTGGAAGATGCTTATGAGGAAACAAAAGGCATATGAAAGAACCTGAATGGGGCCAGCGTTTTACTGAGTATGCTGGATTAATAAGAGTTGCATTGCTACATGTTCAATAAAAGGCACAATAAAATCTGGCATTGTAAAGCTGAACTCCAGGCACAATATTTTA